TGCGCTGTCTTTTGGGACAGGAAATACAAACTAGATTTTTTTTTTGAATCTGGACAAATCAATTGTTATATTGCACTGCTAAACTGAAGAACCATATTTTCAGATTCAGGTCAGAGAAGAAAGTATCCTTTTATGTGCAACACTCTAATGTCAGGCTCTACATCAGTTTCAAGGCATACAAATTTGGGCCTGCCACACCGACCATATCATCTGGATTGGCATTTTCCAACTTTCCTCAGTTTAGACTGATGAAAAATGGATTATATAGACATTTTTCAGACAACCACATTGTTACTGCTGCTATGAAAAAATGTGTTACCTCTGCTGCTGGTGCAAATTTTTACAAGCACAACATGGCTCTTGTTAATCACTGGTAAAATGCATAACAAATAGTGGAGATTATGTAGAAAATTGTTTTTTGTAGCTGAAAACTTGTGCTCTACTCAACAGTGTCATTATATACCCAGTATTTGTAGTTTTCAAGGAAATAAATAAGAAACATTAATTTTGGAATGTCTATCATAGGCAACCATTGGGTTAATCTTTTTTGGTTCCTTATTAATCATATTTTTATATTTCATTAATGAATACAAGAAAACTCCTGGTTTGTGTTTAATTGCATGACTTCAGCAGAGAAGAAACAATTTCGATAAACAGAAAACAATTTGGGATAAATTTAAATTTCTTCAAAATGTTCTCAAAACATTCTGACTAAAGAACATGAAGTTTTGTTGATTTCTTAATATTGTTTAATAAAGATAGGATTAAACTAATAAAAGATTAATTGCATACGATATCCTTCAATTGTCAACATTCAAATTTATCATTAATAAGGTTAAATTTTTATATTCTAGAGTGTAAATCCAAAGTAACTAACAATAACCAAAACAGCAATTAAAGCAAACTTTAGAAATACCATTTTATGAAAATAATGAAAAAAAAAAGATGTATTTGGTTTTGGATGATAACATCTGTTAATACCAATTAATCATTGAATTTGGAGAAATATCCTTTCCTGAAGAAGATGTGTTTGATAAAACTTAAATGCATATTGTTTAACTTTTTATAAAATATGGTTTCCAAAAAAAAACACAAAAATATAATAGTTATATCACTAAACACGAATACAATGAATTCTGGGAAAAAGGAATGTCTCTATGCATATAAAAGTCCAAAAGAAGAAATTATGAAAACAAATTACTAGTTATATACAATAAAATATTAAAAAAGATAATATTCTATCAGCACAAAATATACAGACAACAAAGTCAAATCTGAGTAATTCACAAACTAAGAATTTTGAATTTTATATTAAATAATTCCTTCATTATTCTATTTATATAATTCTATCCTGAAATGACAATTTAAATTATTTATATAAAACTATAGGATTATTTAAAAATTCAAAAACATGTACAATTCTATTCTATGCCTGATATAATTTTCCAAATTGCTAGATTTATTTATTGAACAATTTTAATTAATAATTGAGGAAATAAATGTGGTATGAAAAATTAATAGGCAAATATTATTCTGATGACTGATAATTTCAATCCAGATAAGAATAAATATATAAATATAACTTGTTATTTTGTGATCTTTAAAGTGATCAATATTAAGTCCTTATACTAAGAAATCTTAAAATTCAAAAGTTTGCAAATATTACTTTGAATAAAATAACATTTGAAATCTTACAAATGTAAACAAATAAAAACAAGTCAACTAATTCAACATAGTTGCTAATACTGGTACAGGAAGTGTAAATTTGTATGTTACAGATAAACATTGAGACACCAAGCAATCTAAAAAGATACAATATCACTGAATATAAATGTATTTCTATTGTTTACTTTTAACTCTAAAATATAATTCCTGAAAATAACTTTTTATGGATCAATTTTCTCCTCAAAAATCAATTTGATATAAATATACCTCTCTTTTAAAACATGGCAAGCAAAAAAAAAAAAAAAAAAAAAAAAAAAAAAACACTAAAACTTTACCATTGGTGGTGCATTGTATGTCCAACACCCATCAACAAGCCTGCAGAAAGTTGTCCAAGAGTTGTAAATAAGGCACAAGTTATAAGATGAAACCAAATCTATAGAAAATATTTCCAATTGTACAGTTTTTAGATACAGCCTGCAGCATCTGCCTCATTCACAAATGAATTCTGAAGTATTTTAATACTTTTTAGTAAGAGAAATTAAGAAAATATTTTTATATGAGGTCTGATCAAAAAGTATCGGAACTGTTGCTATGTTAACAGAGCTAAAATATGCAAAATGAAGTCACTTCACATAGATTGATCTTGAACTCTGTCACACATGCACACTTATTTATGCTTACTTCTGTTGTCTATAGCAGTGCTTGAAAGAAAAGTGTGTATAATATGGTCATCTTACCACACCACAGAATTTCCATCAGTGTCCATGGCAGAGAAAATTGAAGAGAATCTACATCAAATTTTGCCAAAAGCTTATACAAAGTTGCAGTAAGTGTATGGATGCAAGTGTATGAGCTGGACACAAGTATACAAGTGGTTCAAACGTTTCCAAGATGGCTGACAAAATATCAACAGTAACGCATGTTCTTGGAGACGGCTTGCAACCAGCAGAACTGATGAAAACATTGCAGATGTGCATGTTGAATAACCATGTGTGAGTTGTCAGAGGATGTGTACATTAGTTATGGTTCAGTTCAGTCCATTCTCAATGAAGATTTGGGTAGGAAATGGGTGTCAGCCAAGTTTGTGCCAAAACGACATTCAGTTGAGCAAAAAGAAAACAGCTTTCAGCTGTGCAGAATCTCTTCGACTGTGTTGAGGAAGACAAACTTTTTGAAAATGGTCATAAGGTGTGACAAATCATGGGTTTATGGCTATGACCCCAAAACCAATACTCAGTCTTCACAGTGGAAGACCCCAACCTCTCTGAGAATGAAGAAAGCATGAATTAGCTAAAGCAATGTGAAGACACTGTAGATTGTTTTCTTTGACTACAAAGGTATTGTTCATCATGAGTATGTTCCACCTGGTCAGACAGTAAACAAGAAGTACTACCATGACATGTTGCAGCATTTACAGGATGCTGTTCATTGGAAAAAGGACAGAATTACAAGTGTCCAGGTAGTGGCAACTCCACCATGACAATAAAACCTGCCCATTCAGTGAAGTTTGTGGACAAGCACAACATTCCCCAGATTCTACCCCTTGTAACTCCCCAGCCCTGTTCCAAAAATCAAATCCCACTTGAAAGGAACAAGATTTTTAAGACCTCAAGGAAATCCAAGACAATGCAACAAAGCAGCTGCTTGCTATCTCAAAAAAAGGAGTTCCAGGAATACTCCCATAGCACCAGTCCAGATACTTTTTGATCAGACCCTGTATATATACATTGGCATTATTGCTATATATATATATATATATATATATAGCATGAAGCCATTGATAGTGTTATGTCTTATCCAGATTTTATTCCATGGTGAAATTTGTGTACATGTCATATTCAACTGCATTATAATATACACCAATCCCAATGACGAGTAGATAATGCCATTTTTTTTTTTTTTTAAAATGAAAGACTTTTTTTCCATTCTTGGCCTGGCTATAATTGTAAAAGAAAAGCCAACATCATTTTAATTTTCTGAAATATATATATATATATATATATATATATATATATATATATATATATATATATAGTGCATGTATGCACAAATACAATTATGCAAAATGCTTGAAAGTATTTTTGAAAATACCAGCCAATATCTTTTAGGAAAGACAAGTTAGTCAAAGCAAAATAAAGAGAATTCTTTTGGAAATAAAATAAATGTTATATTTTGTTAAAACTCTTTCAAATATGAAACTGACCCTAACAGGCCCCAAATTTTAACTAGTACCTACTCATAAAATAAAAACATCTTGTTTTGTCATGCAGAGATATTACAAACCAAGTCTTTAATATTACTTTTCATGTAATTTCATCTGCTAATGTGAGGGTATATTTAAGTCAAACAAAGTAGAAAGAATGTTTTCTATTAAGCCAGTTTAGATGAAACAATCTAACAAACAGAAAAATTATCAACTCTGAACAAATATTAGAGTAGGAGTTAGTACACAATGTTAATTACCAGTCAGTGAAAACAAATACACACACGAAGAATGTATTTACTATATATCAAGTCTACGTATTTAACTAGGAATTTAAATTTTTGATAAAACATCAGTCTGCTGTTGAGGTGGTTTCATTTTGCATACTTAACTATGCTTAAAATAATTACCTAAAAAAAAAATAACAACCTACTTTTGGATTCCAAAGATGACCCAAAACGGTTATTCTTTTTAATACGCTTATTATTCCAACCTCTCCTTTTATTAAATATTCAAATGAAACACATTGCCCTAGAATGCTTGCAGCCTAAATTCAGATGTAGGAGGAAATTTCCTGAATATTCAATAAAGTGGGGTTGAAATAAAGATGTCCCAGGTGAATTTTTCTTTATAAAAGAATAATTGTCCTGGCATCTTTGAAACTCCAAGGTATGAAATGGCGTTAAAAAAAAAAAAAAAAAAAAAAAAAGTCACTAAAAGTGACAAGAGATATTGTATATAGTTATTTATTTTAGATTAATTACTTGTCTCAAAATATAAAATAGATAAATTTCTATACTCGTATCAACTGACATTGTTAATTGATCTTAAGAAATAACCATAATTTTCAATAGCTAAGAGGCTATATTCTATTTTAAATTAAAAGTTAGAAGTATTGTATCTATCTCAAAAGCATCATATATAATGTACATAAATAGCATGAACAAATTTTTGTTCTTGGCCTTTATAAAAGCAAACAACTCATTCAAAATTAGTTCTGCCAGAAAATTCTCCAAGACACTTAAAATAATATTTATATTCCAAACCGTTTTCATGAGCCACTCTTTGCCTCAACCTTTTAAAACTTATGTTTAATTATGACAAAGAAAAAAAAATGTTTAAAGACATTCACCTTGTACTCTACGTCCTTGTCGTGGTTGTCTTTGAGGCTTGGGAGCATCTGCAAAATGGAAGAAAAAGCCACTCACTAAAACACAGAATACAATAAATAATAAATCAATCCCCCAAAAAATATATAATATAAACAAAGAATTTGATCCATTTGCAAACACAGCTGTCTTTTTATTAACTATTCAATGAAAATGATATCCTCATGTGGACAATGAATATTTTTATTATGCAAATATTCCAAAACAATTTAATTACTATTAATATTATTATATATGCTTTGCTAGTCAGACCAACATAAAAATCTTGGTGGTTGTATTCAGGTTACAGATTCTCTACCCTATGGATTTTGTACTCATTAACCTTTTCATTTGACTTTTTATGTTTAAAGATTTCATATCAGTTAATATTGACCAATCTTATTTACATTTGTGTCAATTGTCTGTTTCTTTGACTGAACTAGGGTACGTGACTTCAGCACTCACAACATTCACAGAACCCAATGTTTTAATCCACTATGCCATGTGTCTCTTTGACAATCTTCTGTTGAAATTTGGGAGCCTGTATGACTGCCTTAACACAGGTAGTGGAGTTTTTAATCTTTTTGAGTGTCCTATTCATCTCTATTGCTAGGTCTACTGAGATTGTCATACATAACGTGTGCTGATCTTTTCAGTTGTCTTATCCTCTTGTTATGTGAATATAATACCTAAGATGAGCATCTAGTCAAAATAGTAAAGCATATAATTTCAACAAATTTAATCACCTATAAGCAGGTTTTTATTGAATGATGATAACTGGTTGATTTAAACAGTTGTGATCATCTTCATATTTTCATATCACTTTGTCTTTATTTCTGGCATCAAATTAAAACAGTTGTAAATGAAAACCAAGTTTTCAAAAGTTATAATGGTAAGAATTTTAAACTAAAAACCATAACCCTGTTGTAGAAAAAAGCTACATACTGTACACTCTCAAAAAGTTTAAAGAATAAAAATTAAACAATATTTTTCAAAATAAATTATGCTATTTTAGGATAAAAGTCACAATTTTGATTTTTTTTATCATGCAGAAAGTTGGCTTTTTATTGGATAATGATTTTTAGTATTTTCATTTAAAACTAATATACATGCATAAGACAGATTATTCTCAGGTGTTGATTTGATCAATTGACCTATCCAACCATGGAGCATTGTTCAGTAAGAAATTTCCAACACAAAACTTCACAAACCACTTTTGAGAAGTTTGATTATTACCATGTCTATAAATGACATAAAATCATTTTTGTATTTGAGTAGCTTTTTTCATATTTCTTGAAAAAAAATGAAATAAGAGAATGCATAATATCTTGAAACTGTTGCTTATTTTCTTCAATGTTAGAATAAATAAACAAAAAAGTGCCATTATTTGCCTTATTTACATGCAAACTATTGTCCTCATTGTTGTTACAACATTTCAACCTAAATTCAGGATAATTGTGAGTTCAATGTCTCGGTCAGACAGTGTCTATTTGGACTCAGTGGAAACAGAGTGAGCAATAACTGAGCAGTTCTAAAAATAAGAAGTAGACGAGATATCCCTAGACATGGGCAGTGGAACAAGAACACACTATAGATTAAATAAAGGGTTCAGTTTGAAATTCCCTGTAGGTTACCCTGATCAACATACCTGATGAAGGCTGAAGGGCACCAAAGCTGAAATGTGATAACAATGACAAAGATGAGGACAATAGTCCATATGTAAATAGTGTAAATAATGATAGGTCTTCATCCCAGATATTCAGACAAAAATGTGCCAATTTTGATACAATATTTTTTTTTAAATGCCTGTTACTATGACAACTGTCAACACAATCAAAAGAAATTCTTTTTAAAAGTAAATCTAAATATCATGACAAAAACAGAAACGAGGTTTCAAAAAGAAACCCTCTCAAAGTCAGATTCTGGGATATATAGTGTGTGTGGCAGTAATACCTCTCACATAATGGTAAGACATTAGCTAGATAAAGATATCATTGCTACTAATGTCATATCATTATGTGGGAGGTATTTGTGCTGCACTCTGTATAAGAGCTCAATTTAGCATTTGTGTGTTGAGGAGAAAGTGAGAGATCTATTCATATGCAAGATCCTGTATCCACAATCATCATGGAACTGTGAACAGCTATCAAGATGTTATGACTCAACATTTCTACAAAGGCCCACTTGTAGAATTGATGCCACATTAAATTGCTGCACATCACTGGGTAAAATATTGTCCTACATAATACTAAGCACCGAAGTTTGCATTGAGAAGTGAGACTTACAGTCACTATACAGTGTTGATTCCTATTGTCAACACCGTGTCTCTCTTTCATTAGGTGGAATATGTGAAAATGAATATTTAAATTTTCTAAATTTAAACATCCAGTTGGTTTTCACATATTCCATTATACTTTCTTCAGGTATTTCCTCATTTGTTTAATAATGTGTGTGTGTGTGTGTGTGTGTGTGTATATATATATATATATATCTCAAAGACAATATTAATAAATTGAACTAACAAAATAAAATATTTTGCAATGTGTTTAATTTGTTCAAGAAATTCAAAGATAAAATGTAGAGATTTAGAAAGAAAAATCTATTTGTAAACACAGAAATAGTATCACTGAGGAAATGATGTAATATATTCAAATGTGAAAATATTTAAAATTTTTTTGAAGGTTTCCTTTCTGAAGCCTTGAAAGATTTTCAAATTATCTTTAATGTTCTCACATTTGAATCTGAAAACATTATGTCACTTTCATGATGATACTTTTCCTATGTGTACAAATACATTTTACTTTCTAACTCTCTGCATTTTGCCTTTAATGAAGTTCCCGAGGGAATAATGTGATTTACAAAAATAAATTGTATTTTGTCAGTTCAATTATGTATATCTAGGCAACAATCCTTTCATGCCTATTTCATTGAATATAACAAACAAAGAAGGAAGGAACATTTTGTAAGTTTTTTTTAATTCAGTTTTTTGCATCCTTATAATTTATCATGAAAACTACGCCCACCTTTGAAAATGAATAAAGTATTATAGGAAAGCGTAATTGAGACAATAAAGGATATGAGCAATTCATCAAAAAAAAAAAAAAAAAAAAAAAAAAAAATCATTAAGACACAAAAAGAATTGAATAAAAAAAAAATTACAAAATAGTCTTTGTCCATCATATCCAATGAAGCACACACAGTGATTGCCAGTTCTTGGCAAAGAAAGTTATTTCCTCAATTTTAGATTGAGTAGCAGAAAAAGAAAAAAAAAAAAAGCTTCATTTCTGCAGGCTTTCCTACAAATATATCAGACAAAAGTTTTGTGTATGTTTATCTGGTCCAGATGCATTCTCATGTGACTCTTCAAACATGCTTCTGCTAACCCATATATTTGTCACAAAACTGATAAATTTCCTGTTAAGTCATTGTTAATGTAGTCACATATCACCACTCCTTCATCACCAGGTTTTTTAAAGAGATAACTTTAAATTTTGATGGCAATGCTACATGTTTGTACAACATGCCTAACACCGTCTCCTCCTCTAAAATATGATGCCCTCCATCAAATTTACAATTAGAATTTGTACTGAAGAGTTTAAATATGAAATCTGATAATTTGAATAGATTTATCAAACCATTGAACATTTATTGAACACACACAAACAATAATAAAATACTCTTAATACTTTACATTATGTTAAAAAAAATATAAACCAACTTATAAAATAGTTTATCTTGATCTATAAACTCTTCCATTTTAATAATTTTGTTAATTATTATTTAGTTAAGTTTCTCTTATAAGCTAATTTCTAATACATTAGTATTAGAGATTAGCTTATTTATAAGAGAAACTAAACAAAATGCTATTGAATATTTTTTCAAATATACTATCAAACATTTATACAGATTTCTGATATTTAGTAGTTTTAAAATGAAGCAATGTTTTATACTTAACTGCAATCATAAATAACATTAATAATTAAACAGTATATGAAAAAACACAAATATTAATTGGGCTGCACTTAATATTAGTTAAAAAAAAAAAAAAAAAAAAAAAACTAACAAAATTGCATATTTGATCCTTAAGTATATGATTGTTTTGACATACTTTTTAATGTTAGATACAATAAATTATATTTAATACTTATACACATTAATATCAACTATTTTGATAAAATAAATCTGACCATGTTGTCGTCTTAAACTTGGTGATCATTAAAAATCAGATCAAAATAAATGTCATAAAATATTTACCTGGAGATGATAACAATTCATTCAATACAGCTTCTGAATTGAAGTTATGCTTCTTAATGCAATTTATGACCACCTCACGGGGATGCAAGTCTGCAATAACTTCATGAACTTGATCCAAGCATGAATTCAGGCGAGCTGAGAAAAGATTTTTTTTTTTTTACTAAGATCAGAAGAATTTAAAAGTTGCAATGTTATTAAAAACAGCTACTTAATGTAATTGCTGATCTTGAAAAATTTCATCATTCAAGAAAACTTATTCTGACACAAACATAAAATGCAAGTCAATTTTGAAAGATATCTAAAACACTGGTATACTGATAAATATAGCAATAAATTTTTATCACTACGTAAAATTTCCAACAGCATCAAGAATTAATAAAATCTTAAGTGGTATCATAAGTAATGTTTGGTATTTAATGGTAATTATACCAAAGGCATTTTACTCATTTTTTTTAGGCTTTATAAGTGCATTATTTATGAAGATGTTATAGCTTAATCTCAGATTGAGGGAACCTACAAGTAAATCAGTTTTCAATAAGTGAATTATGATAAGCAAGTTTCACTTACCAAACTTATATATGCTGATGCAACACAGAAATATTCATAAAAATCTACTCCTTGTAATCATTTTAAGGCTAAGTGAATGCATGATAAAAAATGTTTTTAAAAATACATCCTAAATTAAACCATCCAAAAGCCTTTATATACTCAACAATAGTTCTTAGTTAATAAAATCATCTGAAGTGTGAAAGAAAAATTATTACAATTTAAGTATAAATTTTTTTTTTTGTATTTTATAAATATCTTATGATTAATTTCTAAGAAAAATGACAAAATTTTATATTAATTAGTTAAAAAGGAGAGAAAGGCTTAATGTTATGCTTACACAAAAATCTATTTTAAACAAAAGCTAATCTTATTTTTGATATGAGAATGTCTCAACAAAAAGACAATTTCTGCTGTTAGAAAAGCAAGATCTAATGGTTTAGAGTATACAAGATTCAGTTTGCAAATTACAATTTTTTTCAAATCTGTTTTCATAAGCACTGAGTGCATTTAATATTGCTAATTAAAAATTTCCGTTTATAATAGTCATTTTATGCTTTAGTCAAAAATATATCTTGGATCTTAGACTTAGAATTTTTAATAACAGTCAATAAAAGATGTTTGTAAATTTGATGTTATTTCAAAGTACATGGGTCAATAGTTATGCTTACATTACACATTCTGCATGATGTTTTTCCAGTCTCTGAACCACTAATTTAAAACCGAATTTTATTGCTGCAAAGATTCTACTTTGCCAAATAAAATCAATTTTTTTTTATACATAATCAAATAAAAGCACTGATTCTAAAGTAAGAGGTTAATTGAAATGCAGTAAGGCATATATGAGAAAAAACAGGAGCTATTTAAAATTTCACAAGCTTATCTTTTCAAAGTCTATATCTAGATTCAAAATAAATAATGACCTTCTGGACTTAAACTCTTTTCTCTTCACAATCTGATCTACACCTACAGTATTAAGTTGGAACAAAAATTCTGTTTGATTTTTGAGATGAAAATGTTGAATAAAAGTGATTAAACTATTACCTCTTTATGTTATTTACTAATGCTACTATGCGTAATTTACATTTTTTTCCTTTCAGATTATAAGGATATTATTCATAAAATAGTTTGGAACTTGTCCCTATGTTCATCCCAACTGAAGAACACATTGGAAATATACTCTATGAGTTTCATAATGGTGTCAATGCAAGCGCAGTAGCAAAATGCATGCAGTGCGCTTATGGAGTCGATGCATTAAGTGTAAGAAGTTTCTAGAGGTAATTTTCTGTTTCAAAAGTGGGAATTTTAGTCTACAAGATGAGCCAAGAGAAGGTCATCTAAAAGGACACAATTTAGAATATTTGGAAGCTGTTGTTACAGCAAACGCTGCCACTATAGCTAGGGAAATCAGTGAGAAATTTAATATTAGTATACAATAGTTTTACCCAAACTGGAAAGTAATGGGAAGGTTTCAGTAGTTGGAAAACAGGGACCTAACAACCTGTCTCAAGATAATTGCCAACATGTTGATTGTTGGGAGTCATTGCTTACAAGAAAACTTCGTGCCCTTTTTGGACAGGCTTGATGAGAAATGGATCTTTTACCATAATGTTAAGCACTATCGTCAGAGGATCAGTTGAGGAAATAAAGCTGCCCAGCAACTGAGAGAAGAATTTTATCCAAAAGAAGATCATATTGAGAGTGTATGGTAAGGTATTCAAGGCATCATTCATTATGAACTGTTAAACAACCAAACAATCAACACTGATCTCTACTGCCAACAATTTGAAAGCTGCTTTGGACAAAAAACACACATCCTTAGTCAACAGAAAGAAGACAAGCTTGGTTGGGTTTTATTGCTTCATCCACCATATTCTCAACCTTGCTTCTTCTGATTATCACTTGTTTAGAGGTTAAATATGAGTTGGATTTTTATATCAAACCCCTTAAAATTTTAAAAATGTGGCATCTATAAACTTGCTGACAGATAGAATGAGTTCCTAAGAAGCAATGGAGGTTATAATCTATGAGTATTAGTATCTTCATTTGTAATATAAAATCAGACAGAATTTTCATTTCAACCTGATACAAAGTGTTCAAAATAGTTTTTAATTTCAAGAAAGGAGTTAAATGACTAACAGTTTCAATGCTCAAAGCCATAATGGAAATCCCGTTCTTCCATACCAATTGATAAACTTACAGCTACCTTAGTGATCGGGATAAATATAAGTAAATTCCAAGATTAGTGTCAAAAGAATAAATAGGTATCATCAGTTCTTTCATTTATTTTAATAGGGATTGTCTACAAGTCTATCATAGAGCAGAAACACAAAAATGATAAAAACATTTACAAACAATATAAAACTGTATCAATGAAAGAAAGCATGTTCAAGAATCATGATATATTAGTAAGAGTAATAACATTAATTTTAGCAGTTACAAAAATATTTCTCATGCTCATAGCTTTTCAAGACAGCAGAATTTCTAAAATTCA